AGTGTATAATAATGAACACTGAACTGCAATAATCTGTCTTCTATATTTGCCTGACACTCAACACTAATTCTTGGGTAGGTATTTACCTGGATAACTGATTTTGAGATGCTTAGGGAAAATACTTTGTGTCAAATGAACTAATATATAAAGAAACACACCAACATAGGGTGTTTACTATGGCTGTGATCATAGCTACAACTGTGCCACGTCCTATTTGCTAGTAGTACCTCTATCCAGTAGTAGTTAAAATACAAAACATATTTTGTTATTACAAAATATTAAAATACTGAAAACAATAAAGCTTGAATACAGTGAAAACAGAAGACATGAGTAGTCACATGTATATAACTTGAATCTTCTATACTGAAATTTTTGCTTTTGAAATCTTACATGAATTTATAAAATCATATGGAATGGATGGTAAAGCGCAACAGGGACTGGCGGAATGATGATGATACACAGTACAATATAATACACCAACTAGTACCCATATAGGTCCCTCAATGGAATGGAAATGTTGCCACATATTATTTGATAAATCAATATATACTTATAATGTGGCTAGTGCAGTTTATATGGTTATAATGTGGCAAGTGCAGTCTATACGGATCATACCCACTTAAAAACAGATATCCCAAAGCCATAAATGGACTTCATGCGGCCAATGATAAAGTATTAAGAGATCTACGGGAGCTTAATGTCATGCTAAATTTCCAAAAAGACTCCTTAAATAAAAAAAAATATCCACCATCTATCACTCTACCCAATACCTCACTAGTGCATGTCATATAAAAATGGTGTGGCACTCACCAAAACAGCAAACGTTTCCCACTATGTCCAGATACAGGGCATGGCCATGGGCAAATGCTGTGCCCCAGCTTATGCCAACCTGTATCTGGGGTGGTGGGAATGGGAAATATTTGCAGACGAGTCTTTCAGCACATATGTTGACCAGATGTTATGCTGGTACAGATACATAGATGATATCTTTGCAGTTTGGACAGGCCCAATAGAATCTCTTAATTTATTTGTGAACAAACTGAATACAAACCAATACAATTTGAAGTTCACATTGAATTATGACCACCAATCAATAACATTTTTAGACCTACAAGTCTTCAAAGACTCTAATAATTGCTTGGCAACCACCTTGTACCGCAAAGTATAGCTGGAAACATATATTGTCCGCGACAACTGTACATCCTCCTGTGCTTGTCCGAAGTATATCATATGCCCAGTATGTCTGTCTCCGAAGAAACTGTACTCAACTAACAGATTTCAAATTACAAGCAGCCTTGTTACGACAGCTCTCATGGCAGCAAAGGTACTCCATGTCCCTTCTGCAAAAAGTCTATAACAGAGCCTTGAGGCAACCTAAAACCTCCTTATTGTATAGCACAAAAAAGCCTTCCACTCGCACTACAGTTAAGTTCATTACCAAATATTCTTCACAACATTCTCAATTACAGGCAGTGTTGCAGAAACAAGCATTTACTTCGGGAAGACCCTATATTGGTCAAATATATTGGGGATCAACCTGAACTAGTATTTACGAGGGCTTTTAGTCACTATTCTCCAAACCCTTCCCTGATGAATCATAGGAGGGAGATTTAAAGATGTGGCCATTGCAGTTTCTGTACCTGGGTTTGTCTGGGACATGTTTCATATTTACCAATAGGTATTCTATGAGGACTGTAATACTGAAGGCCTAGTCTATCAAATGCTAAGTAGGTGTGGAGCATTTTATATAGGGAAAACATCAGGAAACTGAGGCAGAGACTTAATGATCATGTATACTACTCAGTCAATAGTAAAATGAGCACCCCAGTCAGCAGACATCTTGACTTATACCACAAATTTGATACTTCATTTGCTTCTTTCATTGTATTGGAAGTATTTCCAAAGGACCCGAGGGGAGGAAACTGGGACAAGAAAATATTACAGAAAGAGACATATTGGATAGAATGGCTCAATGTTGTCTACCTACCTGGTATTAATGAAGTACTGACATATCAACCCTTCCTATAGGTAGGCCTCCCATCCAGTAATAACCTCTGGTTTGAATGGATCTCCCAGTGATGGGATACCAATAATAGTTTGGGTCCTAGCCTCCTTTTTCAGCGATTGCCCATAATGGGTTATGTAGGGGAGGTCAATATACTAATTGTTGAATCCTTATAATTGCTGTGATTTATTATGTTATGTTTGCAACTGGATGACCCATTGCAGCTTATACAATATGTATATTCTGGAACTATTCTCAAATTATTTCTGGTATGAGGTTATTGCTTCTATATTTTAGTCAGTTTGTGGATGCATATACCTATGTTTGTAACTTTTACAAGCCTTGTATATGATGGCATGTATAGGTAAACAGATTCAATGAATTTTGTTGCTTGAATGGTATATGTATTGTCTAATATTGGAGCATGGTTTTATATTACCTGTCCGTTAGATCTTTACATGATTATTTTTTGGCATGAATGGTAAAGAGACTATGGATGGCTGTCTTGTTTGGACCCCCTTTGGGCAGATGTGCGGCTAGTAGTGCCGTTACATACCGCTGTGGATCGGTAACGTATGCGGTTCATCTGTGGGATGGGTGTGATACTGGTGGTTTCCTCTAGGGGTCGTTCCCTGTGAGAGAACTCCCTTGCCTGCACGGGTTTCACTATGCGCTCTCTCGTGGCACACCTCTGTAGTGTTATATTGCCTGCCATTGCAGGATCATAGCTCATGCCCCCATACATCTCTAAGTGCTTTGTCATTGGCTGCATGAAGTCCATTTATGGCTTTCGGATAACTGTTTGGAAGTGGGTGTGATCTGTATAGACTGCATTATCCACCTTGTAAGTATTTATTGATTTATTAAATCATGTGTGGCAATGTTTCCCTTCCATTGAGGGACCTATATGGGTACTAGTTGGTGTATTATTTTGTATATACTCCCTTTGGCAGACTTTTTATCTTTTTACAGATCCCCACATCTGTTCTGGTGTCCATCATTCTGCCAGTTCTGGTTGTCTTTGCCGTCTATTCCATATATATTTTATATATTCATGTATGTTTTCAAAAGCAAATATTTCAGTATAGAAGATTCAAGTTATGTACATGTGACTATTCATGACTTCTGTTTTCACTTATTCAGAAAACTGTATTCAAACTCCTGAAAAAGTGCTCTTCATCGTAAAACATGTAGAGCTCATTACTGGTCAACCTTCAGGGTGGAGATTGGGTGAAGGACGTTTATGCTGAATCCCCCCTTCCACTGGTGGTTGTATCTCTTCACGTTAATGTATCACCCACTGGACCTGATTGTCTGTCAATGCTTAAGCATTTTATGATATTAGTTTCAGTATTTTAATCATTTGTATAACGATAAAATATGTTTTGTATTTTAACTGTTGTCTTCGGTGCCTAAAAAGTCCATATGATCCTACTATTGGATACGGGTACTGCTTGTGTCAAATGAATGTGGGGGGTTAACTTTTCAATTATTGTAGAATATCCTTCTAAATGTAAAATTTCCTTTTCCACCAGTGTTTCATTATTAAATATATATTGGCTGTCTGGAACATAATCTCCAAAGCTAGGAAATACATAGCGTTATGAGCATAAACAGTTATAATTACAAAGCTGACCAAAGCTTGCTTAATAGCTTTAGCCCACACTGATACTAATAAATGATCACAGTAACTCAAGGCAGACACATAAGCAATCATTGTAGAAGGCAAAAAATAACCCAAATATACTTTAATTCCATTATAAGGTCACTCTATGCTGATATTGCAGTACTGAATTATTGATGTGCTTTGTTGGTGTATTTTGTATGAAGCATATGAATATGTGTTGCAAGGATGAGACTTTAAAATGTGGTTTGTTTTATTGAGTCATGTAACTATATATATTGCTAAAAGTCTTATAACTGACTCTGTTTTACTGTAGCGCTACCCCTGCAGGAGCTGTTTGGTAATTTGGGTTCTCTGTTCTACACCTCAAATACAAGAACACCCTCAGTCCCTCTGACACACCTGGTTGAATGAAAGTTACTGCAGGCACATTAAAGAAGACAAGTATAAATACCTTTAACTCATCTATGAATTAATTAACAACAGGAGATAGACACAAGACCATTTAGTGGTAAATGAACTCAATGTATTGGTATAGGTTAGAATAAATGGTGGTTTGAACATAAATGAACACAGAAGGTATGTTCAGACACAGTCTGCTAGACCATATAATCTAAGGTAACTTGGAATAGACTCCTGTACCACTAGACTGTGACTCATGAATCAGCAAAGTTAGCACTAAAAAGTGTACGTATATAAACATTAACTGCAATGTAAATAATTCTATAACCTGTCTAAAGTGCACTCCAGGAAAATGGCAAGGATAAGGTGCTATGTTCCCTGAGAGTTACCTCCAAGTACAAGCAATAATTAATGGTCTCTGTGTAACAGCTGTAAATGAACAGTCTTGTCCTAACTCTTCAGCCAGCTAGGGTTGGGGCCCAGTTGTACCACCGGTGCACCTGAGAATAGTCTCAGTCAAGCCTGAAGGCAGCAAATAAGGCTACTAATTGGATGTGTGTTCAGTTCTTAAAGGGCTCAGTCTCTCCCTATATTAGCAGATAGTAAATCCCCGCAGCATCTCATTAATCCCAGTAATATTGCAGTTCACCATCTAGTCACATACAGTGATTATTCCACTCTCTTCTCTGCAACCAGATGACTCTGGCTGTTGGCACACCTGGACTCAGCACTCTGGATCCTGCTCAGGCTCCCAATATGCAGCAGAGATGGTTCACACTAGACAGCAATGTGCACTCTCCAGACTCCCTCTTAGCAAGAAGAAGCTGTGTCCTGTACAGCCTGGGGAAATGCAGCTCTTTTCCCTGCTCCTGGCAATCTCTCTCTTTGGGAAATGCAGTTCACAAGTTATTGATTACAATATAATCTCTCTCCTCTGAACTACAGTTCCCACAGTGGAGTGCTGTCCGCCAGTCTATTGAACTCTTCCCAGGGGCGGACTGACCAATTGGGAACTCGGGCACTGACCGAGGGCCCAGGGTCAGTAGGGGGCCCCATGAGATGCCCCTGGTACCTTTTTCATAGGTTTTTTGAGTTTGGGCAAGGACAAAGGGGCCCCATGATCACCTATTGCCCGGGGGCCCCATGAGTTGTCAGTCCGCCCCTGACTCTTCCTGCTCAGCAGCTCCCTCCTCTTGCTGATATACAGTAGCTGTTAACCAGTTCAGCGCCACATGGCAGCAGCTGCATATAGTACACATATACATAGTGTAGTAAGGCTTTATTATCATAAAAATTTATAAAAAATGCCTTCAGGGATTCCTGAAGAAGGGACGTGATTTGTGGCGTAATGCGTAGTACAGAAGCTTGTGATGTCTTTTCTGGTGCATGCAGGAGCTGCCATCTGTGTTCACCCTTTTTTTCCCTTAATTGCTTGCAATAGGTTCTGTGAACCTTGTATCTATGTGAGTGGCATTTTATATATATTTTTTTATGGTAATAAAGCCTTACTACACTATGAGGAGTTCCTTATCTTTTGAGCACCTATCCATCAGAGTGGAGATGTAAAGGATTGTTCCTGAGAGCAGAGCACCTGGAGAGACATGTGGAAGCAGAGGATCCAGTGGGATTGATATTGAGCGCACTGGATCCTATATTTTCTATGGGTCAGTTGTTAAGGTGAGCGTGCATTTCTGAATGTGGAGGAGCACGATAGATTTGCAATCCTGTTGAAGTCACTGGTGCATTACTTTAAATGTTGGAAGAAAGAGACTGTTAAATCGCTTTTGGACTACATTTTGCACTTTATTTAGTGTTATTTATAATTCACCATTTATCTGTTTTTGTATATATTCAGTAGAGCTGCTTATCTTTTTTTTGTTTTTTTATTTACGCACTTTTTGTGAATATCTAGCCCAGCTGAACGTTTACCGTATTTTTCACTCCATAAGACGCACCTGACCATAAGACGCACCTAGGTTTTAGAGGTGAAAAACAAGAAAAAAAAATATTCTGAACCAATGGACTGCAGACACAGTACAGGGGATGACCAGAGACTGCGGACACAGTACAGGAGATGACCAGAGACTGCGGACATAGTACAGGAGATGACCAGAGACTGCGGACAAAGTACAGGGGATGACCAAGAGACTGCGGACATAGTACAGGAGATGACCAGAGACTGCAGAAACAGTACAGGAGATGACCAGAGACTGTGGACACAGTACAGGAGATGACCAGAGACTGCGGACATAGTACAGGAGATGACCAGAGACTGCGGACAGTGCAGGGAATGACCAGAGACTGCGGACAGTGCAGGGAATGACCAGAGACTGCAGACAGTGCAGGGAATGACCAGAGACTGCAGACAGTACAGGGGATGAAAAGAGACTGCGGACAGTGCAGGGAATGACCAGAGACTACAGACAGTGAAGGGGATGACCAGAGACTGCTGACCTTTGGGGAGGGAGGGGGAGCGGGTACCTGAATTTGACCGCGGAGTTGCCTTCCCTCTTCTTCCCGGGCCGGCTTCTGTGACAGCCGGGTGCCCACTGTGCAGGTGCGAGAAGCGCTTCGCTTTGTGAATGGCCCGGCGCCTTCTGGGACCTTTCATGTGTCCCAGAAGACACCGGATCATTCACAAAGTGCAGCACATGCGCAGTGGGCACCCGGCTGTCACAGAAGCCAGTGCGGGAAGACTGTGCAGCGCTGGAGTGAGGAACAGGTAAGGCCCTGCAGGAGACAACAGCTGAGCGGCCGGCCCGGTATTCTGACATGGTGGCCGCAAAAATACCGGACCGGCCGCTTTATATTCGCTCCATAAGACGCACTAACATTTCCCCCCCTTTTTGGGGGGGAAAAAAGTGCGTCTTATGGTGCGAAAAATACGGTACTTGATTAATTACATATTTATTCCACTGGGGGGCTGATTGTTCAGCTGGTCATTTGTTTTACAATCATTTGACTTCCCTGGCGGGATTCGCGAGTGTAGCTCAGGGTTAACTGCCAGTACCAAAAACGGTAACCCCGAGCTACACTCTGGATTACCATTGCTTAGGGATTCCCTCCAGCACTTACCTTGTCCTGCGCTCCCGCGGTGTGTCCCCCCTGCAGTGTCCCTGGCCATCTCCTCCGGCCGATGCCGGCATCCATCTTGCTGGTTCCATTCCCTGCGATGTCAGGACGTACGGGGATAGAATCATTTTTGTCTGTTCTTTCTGCTGGAAACTGCGTCCATGGGCGTTCCAAAAAAGCGTCCCTTTAGGTCAAAAGCGGTTTTAGACCAGCTAGAGAACAGCGATAGTAAATTAGAACCACTTGCAGAATTGAGTGATAATGATTCGTGGGGAAATTCGTCATCAGACACTGAAAACGATTTTGCGACTTTGCTCAGTGATGTGCAAACTTGGCGTTCTATTTCAAATTTCAGTGTTTTTGGTTTGATTACATTATTGAATTAAATTAATTATTATTATATTATTATTTTTATGACTGTTTATTATATTATAATTTATGATTTTGTGTTTCAAATTTTATCATACCCGGGATGTTTACTAGACTCTTGTTCGGACAGATTTCAGTCAGTTTTTTCCTAAGAATAACAGGCCTACAATAAAAAAAATGACATATTTCCATGCAAAAAAATTTACCGCTTTGAGCACAGAAATACTAACATAATCAGACTGCTAGGGATACTGTTTTTGTTGATTTTCACACTTTATGCTTCAGGTCAGCCAGGTGTTTATTACAGCTTGGCCAGGTGTTTTTTTCTTTGTGATTGTGTTTTATTTCTGATATACAGTGGGGATCGAAAGTTTGGGCACCTCAGCTAAAAATTTGTATTAATGTGCATAAAGAAGCCAAGGAAAGATGGAAAAATCTCCAAAAGGCATCAAATTACAGATTAGACATTCTTATAATATGTCAACAAAAGTTAGATTTTATTTCCATCATTTACACTTTCAAAATAACAGAAAATAAAAAAATGGCGTCTGCAAAAGTTTGGGCACCCTGCAGAATTTATAGCATGCACTGCCCCCTTTGCCAAGCTGAGACCTGCCAGTGTCATGGATTGTTCTCAATCATCTTCTGGGAAGACCAGGTTATGTCAATCTCAAAGGTTTTAAATGCCCAGACTCATCTGACCTTGCCCCAACAATCAGCACTATGGGTTCTTCTAAGCAGTTGTCTAGAAAACTGAAACTGAAAATAGTTGACGCTCACAAAGCTGGAGAAGGCTAGAAGAAGATAGCAAAGCATTTTCAGATGTCAATATCCTCTGTTCGGAATGTAATTAAGAAATGGCAGTCATCAGGAACAGTGGAAGTTAAAGCAAGATCTGGAAGACAGAGAAAAATATCAGACAGAACAGCTCGCAGGATTGTGAGAAAAACAATTCAAAACCCACGTTTGACTGCACGATCCCTCCAGAAAGATCTGGCAGACACTGGAGTTGTGGTACACTATTCCACTATAAAGAGATACTTGTACAAATATGGTCTTCATGGAAGAGTCATCAGAAGAAAACCTTTTCTACGTTCTCACCACAAAAATCATCGTTTGAACTTTGCAAATGAACATATGCATAACAAGCAAGTTCGTGTTGTGCATTTTGGAAACAAGTTCTGTGGACCGATGAGGTTAAAATTGAACGTTTTGGCTGGAATGAGCAAAGGTACATTTGGAGAAGAAGGGGCACAGAATTTAATAAAAAGAACCTCTGTCCAACTGTTAAGCATGGGGTTGGATCAATCATGCTTTGGGGTTGTGTTGCAGCCAGTGGCACAGGGAACATCTCACGAGTAGAAGGAAAAATGGATTCAATAAAATTTCCACAAATTTTGGATGGTAACTTGATGCCATCTGTGAAAAAGCTGCAGTTAAAGAGAGGATGGCTTCTACAAATGGATAATGATCCTAAACACACCTCAAAATCCATGGGGGATTACATCAAGAGGCGTAAACTGAAGGTTTTGCCATGGCCTTCACAATCTCCTGACCTCAACATAATTGAAAATCTATGGATAGACCTTAAAAGAGCAGTTGATAAAGAATGAGAGTGCAGCGCTAACCCAAATAGCGATTAAACATACAGTTGTGACCAAAATTATTCAACCCCCAATGCTGTAAAGGGGTTTAGGGACTATAGTGTACATTTGGAATTGTATTCAGAATCAAATCCTACAAGGACGTTGTAACTACCCAAATGCAACTAAAATGACATCAATTGTTTATGTAATACAGTAGTAAATGGTTCTTATGTGGTTTCTTCATTGCCACAATTATTCAACCCCTTAAAGACTACCACTCTGAAGAACAGAGGTTCATACAGGTGCTTTCCATCAGTATTGAAAACACCTGTGGATGTCACCGAGCAGCAATCAAGCATAATAAGCACCAATTAGGCAGCTTTAAAAAACACTGTGATACTCAGCTCCTTCTAGACATTTACTGGTGTGGTTACAAACATGGTGAAGGCAAGAGAATGGTCCAGGAAGACAAGAGAAGAGGTGATTTCTCTTCACAGAAGGGCAATGGCTATAAGAAGATTGCAAAGATGTTAAACATACCAAGAGACACCTTAGGAAGCATCATTCGCAAATTCAAGGCAAAGGGCACTGTTGAAACGCTACCTGGTCGTGGCAGAAAGAAGATGCTGACTTCGACTGCTGTGCGCTACCTGAAGCGTAGAGTGGAGAGAAGTCCCCGTGTGACTGCTGAGGAACTGAGAAAAGATTTGTCAGATGTGGGTACAGAAGTTTCAGCCCAGACAATAAGACGCACACTGCGTAATGAAGGCCTCCGTGCCAGAACTCCCAGGCGTACCCCCTTGCTGTCTCCAAAGAATAAGAAGAGTCGACTGCAGTATGCCAAAAGCCATGTGGACAAACCACCGATGTGTGAAAATAGAACTGTTTGGGATCACGCTGATGAAAAGGTGTACATTTGGAGAAGAAGGGGCACAGTGTAAGTTCATCAGATGTGCTGAAAGTGCATACAGTCTCCAATATGTAAAGAACCAAAAGTAGTGACTTTCAGAAATGATAATAGCCAAATAATGCACTAACCAGATAGCGCATATTAAAGCGCATGGAGCATTTAAGACCTGCCCCTGGTGCTCAGCCACTGTATCACTGGAGCCAGGAGATGTCATCTATAGGGTGACCACTAGTTGTCATCTATCAGGATGGAAGCTGAGTCCAGCCACTGTATTAGAGGATCAGGCGGATGTCATCTATAGGGCGACCACTAGATGTCATCCGTTCCAGGAGGAGCTGTGTCATGGATCCAGGGATGTCACTTGCAGATGTGTCCTTTGCTAAGCACAGCCCCAGGACCTTCAGAATTACATTAATTAATCGATCGGGACCCTACCTACTTTGGGCCAATCCTGAATTATCTACGACATGGGAAGCTAATACTTGGCAAAGAGCTAGCAGAAGAAGGCTCTTTATTTCTGGGGAGCCTGTAATTCTGAAGGTCCTGGGGCTGTGCTTAGCAAAGGACACATCTGCAAGTGACATCCCTGGATCCATGACACAGCTCCTCCTGGAACGGATGACATCTAGTGGTCGCCCTATAGATGACATCCGCCTGATCCTCTAATACAGTGGCTGGACTCAGCTTCCATCCGGATAGCTGACATCTAGTGGTCACCCTATAGATGACATCTCCTGGCTCCAGTGATACAGTGGCTGAGCACCAGGGGCAGGTCTTAAATGCTCCATGCGCTTTAATATGCGCTATCTGGTTAGTGCATTATTTGGCTAATATCATTTCTGAAAGTCACTACTTTTGGTTCTTTACATATTGGAGACTGTATGCATTTTCAGCACATCTGATGAACTTACACTGACATTTTACTGATCCACTATCATATGTGGTCTATCATATGTTTAATCGCTATTTGGGTTAGCGCTGCACTCTCATTCTTTATCAATTACTTTGGAGGTTCCCGAGGTGCCTTTTTGTGCAAGCAGCTACCGTACTTACACCTATACACTGCGCTCGATTTTATATATAGATTTTATATATAAGTTTATTTTATTCTTAAAAGAGCAGTGCGTGACAGACAGCCCAGAAATCTCAAAGAACTGGAAGACTTTTGTAAGGAAGAATGGGCAAAGATACCTCAAACAAGAACTGAAAGACTCTTGGCTGGCTACAAAAAGCGCGTTTACAAGCTGTGATACTTGCCAAAGGGGGCAGTACAAGATATTAACTCTGCAGGGTGCCCAAACTTTTGCAGGCGACATTTTTTTGTTTTCTGTTATTATGAAAGTGTAAATGATGGAAATAAAATCTAACTTTTGTTGACATATTATAAGAATGTCTAATCTGTAATTTGATGCCTTTTGGAGATTTTTCCATCTTTCCTTGGCTTCTTTATGCACATTAACACAAATTTTTAGCTGGGGTGCCCAAACTTTCGATCCCCACTGTATATTTCACATTTTGTACTGTTTTTGTTGTTTTTTACATTTTATTCTTCAGCTCAGCTGCGGTTTATTATAGGTTGGCCAGGTGTTTATTGCTACTTGATTTTGGTTTATGTTTGATATATGTTTCACATATCATTTGGATTTAGTGGCTCAGCCAGTTTTTTTTCTATTTAATACTGAATTTATTTGTTTCACAGATTTATTCTAATACACATCGGGTTAGATACTCAGGGGGTGTTGCT